TAACATATATATATATATATATAAATGTCCAAGTTCCCTGTGTAACCTTATTAAGAATTATAATTTTAGACGAGATAAATAACTAATGAAATTAATAAATGATATTTTAATAATTACAATTTGTACTTTTATCACAATATTATTTTCATTTGACAATATACAAGAAAAATATTACATTATTTTACATTAATATTGATTAACCACACGCGTATCAACTTTATACCAAACGCATATATGCGTCTATAGCATTCAAAGGGTTAAAACTAGATACTGTAATTTAATATCACACACACACTTTAACTTTCGAAACTATCAAACTATAATTATTATCTTTGGGATATAATTTTTCTTATAGAATTAAAATAATATCGATTATACATATTCAAATTTTGCCGCGTAATTATTTGAATAATTTTATCATTGGCGGGAAAATATGAAATAATTCGAATGATATTTCTTTTAAATTATTTTCAACTAATTGTAAGATTTGTTATTGTAAAACAAAGCGTTCGTTGTTGTAATCGAAAAGTGATGATGGGAATACAAAGAAAGGTTGTAAATTCGATCGAAATAAAAGGAAACATTGCCACCGTGCGACTCATCGAAACAGGAAACGTACGATAGATAACCACCAACATACGAAACATCTGCGGATACAATTCATGTTCGCTATCGCGTGTCAACGAATGGCTAAACCGCTAACATAAATACGAAATATATTCTCATAAAAGTATATACAAAGATATATATATATATGTATATGTATGTATGTATAATATTATTGATGGTTTTTAAAAAAAAAAATATTGTCAGCTGAGTTGACTATACTCGATATTACTTGAGACACTTGGTAAACATATTCGCGAGACAGTAAACCGAACAACAGTTTTGAAATGATCACCTTACGTGACTCACTGTAACATTGTGAGAGAGTATGTCAGTGTGTATAATATGCTGCACACGTAGAAAAAGGAACAGGGACCTCTTCTCCTCGTAGCATACCGGTTTCTGAAAAGTGCGTCTTCCCTTTCTTAGAAAAAAAGAATAGAATTCCGTAAAGAGTGTTTTGTGAAAAGGAGAAGTTATTCTTGATTCATGAAGAACGTATTATAGAATGAAACCAAATTTTTGTCGTATTTCCAACGAGAACATTTTACATAGAACAGTTTTTAATTTTTTTCAAAACTTTTGAATACAACGAAAGTGTGTGTATGATAATTCGAAAAAAGAAACAGAAGATTACTATAGTATAGAAAAAATATTAATTTAAAATAATATTCAATAAAACACTTATTTAATTTCTTCTTGTTTGTTTCTTTTATTTTTTTTTTTTTCTTGGTTCAACGAGATAAATTCAAAATTTAAATAATACTATTCAATAGAACACGTATTTAATTTTGTCATAATTTTTCATTTCTTTTATTTTTTTTTTTTCTTTTTTTGGTTCAACGAGATAAATTCAAAATTTAAAAATACTATTCAATAGAACACGTATTTAATTTTGTCATAATT